AAATATAGATATGTGGGAGTACAATGATTATTAAGACTCCAGCCTTGATCGGAGGAACCCTTTGTCTCACGATTAGGCTCAACATAGGCATAAACCACACTCCCAGTTGAGAAGCATCCTCTATCTCACGACCGGAGCAACATATCACACCTACCAAGGCAACCATAACACGTTCCTGGTTGAGAAGTACCCTCCATCCCATGATCGGAGCACCACGCCCACTAGGACAACACGATCTCAGTGCATCACACGACTCTTCACGTATCAATCCAAATCAGATACACATACATATACAGTCCATGACCTCAAAAACCAGTATCGTATACCAACATAACTCATGACAAATAATAAATCACATAACATATATCCCAAGTGTAATATATAATAAAAATACAGTTTTATTAAACCACATGATTATCGTGTTAGAAAGCACAGTATGAAAAATATATGTATAGGAAGGGTATTATCACTCACAGTACAAGAGTTGAACTAAAAAGAAAGTCCCAATCACCCTCACCTAACTCACTGGTTTGGGTGCTCCTCCACTGATGTGTCTGTAACCAAAATCATCACCATCACCAAAACTAACATAAGAAATAGCTCGATAGCCCAAAATTGGGCTCAAATCCCATTCCGGCACCCTAACACACAACCTGAGGCACCACTCCCATCACTGGGACCCACATAACTCGTTAACACCCAACAATTTTACTCAACAACCCTCGAACAAAATAGAACTAGCCTTTGAAACCCTTGATTTGTAGTGAACCGATCTCCAAAACTCTTAAATCAATCTAAACCGATCTAAAATTACCTCAAACTAAATTAAACCAGCCACGAAACCCTCAAAATCGATTTAAAAAGCTCAAAAATCTCAGGAATCGGTCTAAATCGGTCAAGAGTTGTTCAAAACAAAGCTGAACCGGCCACTAGAACCCCTAGACCGGCTTGAATTCGGTCGGCTCAACCAAAAACATCAAATTTTCTGTTGAATCAGACCTTTTGGAATCCCTGGACCAATTTGGTTCAATAGATCTTTTCTTCCTAATTCTAGAATTGGTCTAACTTCAAAAATTTGAGCCAAAAATACTACTGAACCGGCTGGTCAAACCCATTGGCCAGTCATTCAACTTTTCCCCTTTTTTTTTATATATATCGGCTCGGCTCGACTTGACTGGGCTCAGTGGCTCGAGCCCAGCCTAATTGGGTCAGACCAAGCCTAAACCTCTTTATTTTTTTCCCTTTTAGGATGGCCTATGGCTCAGGCCCACGGGCTTGTGACTTAGTAAGGTTGAACTTGCCCCAACCGGGCTAGCCCAGCCCAAGGTGGGACCGGACCTTTTCCAGGTCTTGTCTCTTTCACTTGAAACTTGAAAGTCCCAAACCCTGGTTTGTCTATCCGGGTCTACAATGACCCGTAAAACCAAAACATGAAAAAAAAACAGAAATTCCTACTTATCTCAATCGATATTTCTTCAAATTTGTAAGATTCAAGTAACCGACCCTCCCTAAGCAAAATAATCGAAACAAAACATGCCAAAATGACCTCAAATTTGCAAATTTCTCCTTCGGTCACTTGTGACCTGTTGACTAGAAACACTTGAAATTTCCTCACAAATTTCACTTGAAAGCTGCAATAGTTTCAGGGGTTTGATTCATCTCTCTAAAACGCATGCAAGGGTGCCAAATTTCAACCGAAATCATCACCAATCATGGCAGCATGGTAGGGATTATCATTCGGGTACTGTTTGGTCAGAGTTTTTGTTCTGTCTCAATTAGCCCCCATAAATTTTGATTTTTTTGCAATCAAGTCCCTCATAAATTTCCAATTGGCCTCACAAATTTTAATTCTTTCATTTTAATTCCTTAATCTGAATGAACTTAAATTTGTGTCATTACATATATGCACCAATTCATGGTACTTTTTCAATGTTTTAGTTTTGTATAATTTGATTTTTTATTCACATACTTCCCTTTTCATTTCAATGCACTTTGGGAATTTGGTTTACGAACTAAATTTAACAAAATAGGTTTTTTTTTGTTCATTAGAAATTAATTTTAGGATCTGTTTGGACTTTTAAGATCTTAAGTTATCTAATGAAGTCGGCTTATGGCCTCCATTTCCAATTTTAAACGCCTAGAAACTAGTAAAGCTCGGGCATTCTTGACTCACAAGCTTCTTGGCTCACAATAAACAATATCACTTAAAAAACTCAAAAGCCATCAGCATATTTATTTTAAAATCACAAATTTAACAAACTGCAATTGTATATTAAAAATACTTGTAGTAATTTGTTTTATGAAGTGAATGTTTAATAGCATGATGCTAGACAATTAGGACTCCCAATTGTATGTTTGTAAGTCATTTATTGCGTTTGACTGGCGCTGGGATTTCTGAGTTTGCGCTCTGGTTTAAAATCTAAAAACCAAGATTGGAAGGAAAAATATATAGCGGACGAATCTTCCGACTCGACTAATGCCCCGAGTGCCGACTATTCCCTTGTCTGGGATTTGTTGATACGTTCCTTCACACCGGTTGACACCCTTTTGGATCCCCATTGAAATTTGAGGGATCCATCGTTTTCCTCAAACCTTCCCTGTTATTTTTCTAGTATGGAAGGCACACAGACTCGGAAAGCCAGTTGGGTTTCGCCTGGTCTGATCAAGCACTCAAGGGTTGCCATGGAAATGGAATCATCTGAAGAAGAGGTTGTCACAATGTCACTGGCTTTTCTCTTTTCTCTAATCTTCGGTTTTACTGTTCTTGTTCTTATGGTAGTTATCTTGGGTTTGCTTCCTGGGAAAACTAGGCGGTGAACTTGAAAGGACCCTCAACCTAGTTTAACTTCCCCCTTCTTTTTTCCCCAGAGGGGAAATTTTGTATCTTTTCTTGGACGCTGAGTCTGCTGAAAATGATTTATTAAAGAGTGATATGTTTGCACAAGAATGTGATTAGGGAATCAATGTGAATCTTTAATGTTTTTCTTTTGTTGAACTCAAGTGGTAGGTTCTTTCGTGGGTAAGACACCAATTGGTGATTTTGTTTATGAAAAGTCTCTGATGCATATTGAGTTTGACATTAAATTTTTGCATTTTTCAAATCGAAAAGTTTTATTACAAATTCCTAAATTCTCTTTGGGTGCTGAGGAAGTTTAGTAATCACTAAAATGTTGATTATGAATGCCTTCTAGTTGTTTGGGAACTAAAATGGCAATAATCATTTTATTTCACTTTTTACCTGTGGATGACCTAGTTTTGCAGATGTGCTTGTCTACTTGTGATTGATACTATGATTAATTGTCCACTGTGCATTGTTTTGTATTGTTTTGTAATGTACATAGCATTGTGGTGTAGTTTATATCGCAGTAGCTTTAGATTAGAAAAGTTTCGTTTGTCCTTTTCTTATCTTATATGTATGGACTTGTATAACGGTTCACTGGGATGGATACTTAGTGTAGTCTAGAGGGGAAAAACAGATGAAACACCAGAATTTGAGGGAAACAGCAAAGAACACTATTGATAAAAATATAGGTAATAAAACAGCAAAGAATCAGTGTTTCAGAACCTATTTCTCATTGAAAACTGAAATACACAAAATAAAAATATAGTCTGCTGAAACGAGAGGCTCATAACCCTGTTTATATTAAGGCTAGCGCAGTGTAAGGTCTAGATTCTTCATCTTCTAGAGATTCGAACAAATCTAAATCATCTAATTTATTTAAAAGTCACATGCTAGTTATGCAACTTTTTATAATACATTATAGCATTAAAACTAAGCATAAAAGAATACTTAGGCCTAATGATGGCTGGCCCAGCCCAAACGTTGCATTATTAACCCATTCTAGTTTATTCTTCTGGCTGGATGCTTCTGCATCAATAATTAGCCTTCTGCAAACTTTTACTCTTTTCATCTTTGTCCTTTCTGTATTCTTCGTTTCTTTCTTTGAGAATTTCTGTGCTGACATGTCCAACTTGTATCTCTACCTTTAAGTCTCAAATCACCATTTTTGCACCACCTGGACAAGAAATTAGGCGTCTTTGTGATGAAATTACGAGTTTGTTTCTTCCGGAGATTTTAGTCTGCCAGTACAGCTAACCTTCTCAAGCTTGAAGATTTGATAGATTATCATAAATAATTGGAAAACTGTGGTTTCTCTTCTCAATTACGAGATTTCAGTTGAAGTCTTTAATGCTTGTGGTGTCAAGTTACCAGTTGGCTGTTTCCTATTGGGTACAATTTGGTAAATGTGCAATGTGAAACCTTGTGGTGAACTCAAAGATAGGATATGTACTTTTCTTCTCTCTCATTGCTTTTGCTTGTTGAAGGGCTGCATTGGCTGGTTAATCAAGTTGAATGTGATTGTGGAAACAAATAGTTCTCAAATAATTATTCTATTATTAACGTTTTATTTTTATCTGTTTATTAGGGAAACTAAGTTGCCATTTTTACTAAAAATGCTGAAACTTTATGACCTTGAGCCTTTCATTTATGTGCAATATATTGTGTTCTTATTTGTATGTTATTTATCTATACAGTAGGTTTAGTATAGCAAGGAAATGCTTGGGACCTATATCATCCATATCTTCTGTTTGAATGCTGAGAAACCGCAGGAAAAGTGAAGGATGATAAGACTTTCTTTACTGTTGTACTCGTTCATGGAAACATTTGCTATTGGCTTGATTGGCAATGTCTTCATTTTTCTGTTTATGTCTTCAAAAATTTCTGTTTATTGACCTTAAAACTATATCTCATGACTGCTTCGATTTCTCAATTTGGATTATAAGTTTGCCTTAATTTTGCATATTCTTTTCCTTCTCAAGAAACTTGAGTTCAGAAAATCTTTAAACACATTTTACGAGGGTAAGCTTAGTTTTCTTATTCAGCTCATGACATTCAGTATAATTTTATGGTGCTTTTGCTGAATATATTTGTTTTTCTTGTATGTTTGTAGAAGAATATATACGTGGAGGTCATTAACAAAATTGCCTTAAGGGTAAAGATGTCTGAGACAATTAAAAATTTAAAATCTATTGTTCGTGAGAAGGAAGGCTATGCTGAAAATCTGCAGGAATTATTTTTTGCTGATGAGTGGTTGAGGGATGACCTAAAGCTGGCTGATTATGGGGTTCATTCGAACTCCACTCTCCATCTTGTTATCCATGGTTTGGATTTAATCAAAATTTTCATCAATATCCCGTCATATGAAAAAATATTAGAACTTGAAGTGGAGACTTGCCATACTATTGAAAATATCAAATCATTGATTCAGGAAAGAGAGGGGACCCAATCAAATTGTTATAGTCTTTTATACAGGGGAAAGCTGCTTGAGGATGACAGGACATTGGCTTCTCTTGATATACCACCGCAGTCTATCCTCTATTTGGTCTTTCATCCGCGAGATGTGATATTGATTTCTGTAAAAATGCCCAATGGAGAGATTGTGAAATCTGAAGTTAAGGCCCTGTTCACTATTCACGATGTCAAGTTGATAATTGGGAGTATGGTTGGCTTCTCCGTTGCTGGTCACAATCTACTTCATGCTGGAAAGAAACTAGCAGATTCTAAGACCTTAGCGTGTTACGACATTGGGGAGAACCATGTCTTGGAGATTTCCACTCCTACCTTTCAGATATTTGTGAAGGACTGGCATGGAAAGACTATAATTCTTGATGTGCGTGAAGATGAAACCATCTGGTGTCTGAAGCATAAAGTTTTTGACAAGCTGCATGTACCAGTGGAGGTGCAGAGCCTCAAGTTTGCTAGAAAACTGCTCAAGGATGACTTGGATTTGGCTAGCTACAATATCCAAAAAGATTCCACTCTCCATTTGGTCTTTCGGTCATCAACTGTCCACTGGATGAAATTTTCAGAAATCGGACCTCAAGTTCTAGCACTACGGAAAACCACCCCCATTTTCTATTTGAAGGCTACCATCCAGAAAATAATGGGAAGACGAGTGAAGAAAGTTCTCATTGATGGACTAGAGTTGGAGAATGGTCTGACTATGGCAGCATACGGTATTGACAAGGACACAATGCTGATGCTTGTTCTGGAAGTGCGATAAGAGTGTTTCTGTTGAACATGTTTTGATCTATAGATCCTTCTTTACTTACAACTATAAAGTTCTATGTGGGATGTAGAATTGTGACGGGTAATTTTCCTTGGCATTTTTTTTTCATTGTTCTATGATAGTTGAATTCTCCCCGTTTTCATGTTTTAAATAGCTGAAGTGTGAGCATCTGGAGGAGTCAAAATATTATTAGCGCCTATTTGACAAACCTCTTCTGATCATTTCTTCATGTAAACTTGGGACCAGGCAAAAGAAAATTGCTTACAACCATTGGTGATACTGGTGGTTGCCCTGTTGCCGTAGGAATGGCAACTGAAAGTTTGTTGAGTTTTACATGCCTCTTCCCCAGCCCCTCGCATGTCAACGTTGGATGGGAAGGGGAATGTCCCTGTTTGGGTCTAGGCCAGGGCAGGTTTGCCTGCAGGTATATTTACTTTAATTTTTAGTCATATTTTACTTAATATTTGCATAATTAATGTTATAATTAAAAAACAAAACTTACTCTAATATACATTTTTATTTGGTTTTCACCCAATCAACTCCAAACAAATTATACATTTTTTTAGATTTTTAATTATTTATGGGATTACCGTAGTTATGAATTTGGTTACCAAAATGTGCTGAAAATTAGGAAGTTGCCACCTTACGAACCAACTTCTTAACACACTTTTTATTTTTAATTTTATTTTTATAAAATAAGTTGAGAAACCAATTTTTGAAATACTGACTTCTAATAGGTCTGAGAATGGGCTTCGACTGATTGGAACATGACTTTATAAAAGTGGTCACTATTTAGTAGAACAAATTTAAACTTGAAAATGATATAAAATCGTGTTTGGATTTGCATATTTTTGATAAAGAGAATAATCTTTCCTTTGAGAATAATCAAAAAGAAAAATGGAAACTGCTGAATTGGAAAGTGGTTGAAAGTTGTACATGTTTTGCTGTTTACATTTTTCTTTTGACTGAATAATTTCCTCTGCATGCCATAAATAGATCCTTAAAATTGTAAAGAATAATTGATTTCTTGTTAGCAAAATTGAATTTCCAATGTTTTCTAAAATTTCAAATAACACCATAATTTCACTCTCATTTAGAAGGTATTAATTATGTTATCTATTGGAACACAGTTGTGTCTCAATCAACTTGGTTTTCACTAGAAGGGGAGACTATAAAATATTGGGTTGGAAAATTGGAGGAAAAGAAAAAAGAAAGGAAATAAAATGAAATATTTATCATAATGTTCATATTTTAACCATGTATAACTTTTAATCTTTAATTTATTGTTTTCATTTTTTTTTTCATTTTTTAAATAGAAGAAAAGTCACTTTTGAATCAACTTCTGTTTGAAAATCGATTTCACTAAAACAGAATTCTGAATAGAAGGCTTCCAGTTCACCTATTTCTAGAACCAACTTCCAAAAGGAAGTCTAAATCTAGTTCACCTGTCTAGATCAGATGGCTTATGATTTTGGTTCAGACTCACCATTTTGATGAGAGACTTCTTCCCCCAAAACTATTAATCTGTTCATTCATCCATTTGATTGTGTGTTTGTTTTTGTGTGCGTTGATTGTCTATTCATTTATTCCTCTAAAGTTCCTTCAATGTATCGTCCATCCATTTATTTGACCCATCATTTGTTTGTTTATTTGGCTAATGTCCCTTTGACAGACTTCAAGTTGTAGCCGTCTAGCTGACCATCCATTTATCTAATAATGGTTTGTCCGTGCACGTGCATTCGACGAATTGTCAATTTGTCCATTCATCTAACAAACCATAGAACTGCCGAATTAGGATTTAGTCCGTTCCACTGACCATTGGTTGAACCGCTCGATTGACCATCAGAACTGATTGACTTTACATCCATTTGACAAATCGTCCAACCAATTGTCTAACCAAAATTCTATTTGTTTAGACTACCTGTTCAGCTTGTTCATCTATTTGTGTGTCCAATGTGCCTTCGATAGATTGTTTGTTTGATTGTCCATATAACAAATCGTACAACCGTCGAACTAATTAGTAGTTCATCCCATCGACTATTAGTTGAACAATTTGCTTGATCTTCAGAACTGATCGACTGTATATTCATTTGACAAAACATCCAACCAATTGTCCCAACATTTTGTTTGTCTGATTCATCAACTATTATGATTAACAAGTGTGATAGTAACATATAGAAGACAAAATTATATATGCATGTTGTTATTTTTGATTGATGAAATGTAATTTAGAGTTCAACAATAATGTATGGAGACAAATAAATTATAAACATCAAACAAAGAAAAATTATATATAACTATTCATGTGGATTATCCATAGATGTCCCATCATAATGAGGATAATTCAGATGGCTATGACCTTCATTTTTGCACAATTTATGTTGTTTAGGGTCCATTTCATTATGAATACAGGTCGACTTTGGGTGACGGTGAGACTCTCTTCACATTTTCAAATCAAGGTGCAATTCCGGACCATTTTATTCAGGCCAATATCCTTGATTCCCTACTATTTGGAACTCACGTCAATAAACACAGAGTATTCTCTAACTTATAGATTAGGTCCACAAATATGCAATTTAAATGGGTTGATGCATATGCCACAACAACATGTGAACAGGAGAATTTTAATGCTTAAAATTTACCGCAATCACACCACCTCTAATTAAGTTGCACTTTGAACTTCTCTCGTAACAGTCCTTTGCATGGGTCAACTAACTCCTCAAATAAAAACCTGCCTTTTTCTTGTGTAAAGCGACAAATTAAGTAATATTGTACCAATGTTATTTATAATGGGGAGATTACGTGTTCTATTTAACACGGAATTGTTGCATTTAGTTAAGTTGGTTGTCATATATGTTCATAACATTGTCCTATGTTAAATGCCTATGCCCAATTTTCTCTGAGAATATTATTAAGCTAATTTGTGGTTTCTATATTGTTCTACAAAGATTCTCATAGTATTAGTCAAATTGGTGTTATGTTAGCATGAATGCTATTAAAATATAAAGCATATTAATATCATTTAAAGTGTATGTGAAAGGAAACAATAGGTATAATATTGAAGATTATAGTACCGACCTATGTTAATAACTTGTCAATATATCTTTTTGTTATTAAACCTTTTCATGAAATTTGCCACAATATGGCAAATGCAATAAATTGTATATTTATATGGACAATTCCAACTACTATGGCAATGTCTAATTGCACTTTTTATGGACTCGAATTGAGAAGAAATCAGGCATATGCCAAGTTGTGGCGTTACTTGTTTTCACAAATTGGTCAGAAAAATGACCAAGTATTTGCCATTTCACCCTGCACAATGTGCTATTATTTCCATCATTGTGGCTTACACTTAAGCAAAATTGAAGGAAAGTCCGACGAATGAAAAGAAGTATGTGAAATGGCTGCAGGAGCTTGTCCAAAACGGTAAATCAATCCATATTTCTCAGGCGAAAGTGTAGGCTAGTGCTAAAGTTCTACAAGGTGCTATTAAAGATGGAAAAGTATCATATAGGTCGACATAGAACGGGTGGGTCAGACAAAGAAGTGAGCGTTGATGGTGACTTAACTTTTGAGGTGGTAGACCTTGAAGCTGGTTGTGACCCCATTGTTTGATAGTAAATAGAGACTGAAATTAATGGTGTCATGTGCATGCATACTTGCACTGTCTCTCATAAACACTACAAGAAAAAGGGGTGACTTTCGGGGAACTTTTTTTTTAATGGATAGTCCACTAAATAATAAAAATGGGGCAAATTAAGTTTTTTTTTTAATAATTTTGTCGAAAAATGGTGAAAATAGTATGCAAAGCCATTTCTAATGAACGTTGTTCTACAAAAATGAAAAAAAATCTTTTCTTAAAATAAAATTTTTGATGGACAGAAAGTAAATTATCTAGACAATGTCAGTTAGAAATGGAAAAAATATTTTTTAAAAAAAAAAAATTTTTGACAGATAGAGTCAATTGAAAATAGAAAAAAAGGGTTTTTTAATAATAAAATTTTCAATGGTCATTATCCGTTGAAAAATTAATCATTCATCGGAAATTTAGGCAATTTTTTTTTTGAATTTTAGCCTGACTTTAGGGTGGCATTTTTCAATGGACTTTCTGGTGAACTTGACATTTGGAAATGTGTTTTTAGCCCTAAATCAAGGCTGAATTCTTCATTTGGCCAAACTGTTAATCTCTCTCCTACTTCTCTTGCGCTCTATCCCTGCATTCCGGTGATTCTCTAGCGCTTTCTCCTTGATTCTGTGGTCCTTCTCTAGCACTTTTCTCCCTCCTTCTCTTCTCCCGTCTTTATTCGACTTTCTTCCCCCTTCTATCACCAGCCATCCCTCTTCTCCCTCCTATTGTCGTCCCTCTTCTTTCTTTTGTCACTAGCTGACGCTCTGTCCAAGGTCACTACTTCTTACTGGTCCTTACTTCTTTGTGGGCTGACTGCTTTTGTCTCTGGTCCTTGCTTTACTTCTATATCACAAACTTCTGTTCAAGTCCTTCAAGGCCAATTCTTTATTTATTTATCAGTAGAGGCCAATTGCTTAATGTGTTTGTATTCTATTTTCTTTTTGATTTCTATTATGTTGGATTTGTATTAGTAATCTCTTAGATTTGTATTATATTTTCTGTTGTTTAATGCATTTAGGATATGATGTATAGGCTCATTAACCAATAGACTTTTCTTTGTATAGTTATGAGAGAAGGTTTTACGAAAATGTCCACTTGCAATGAGTAACAAGAGTTCAAGTCCTATGTAATCCTTTTATATATGTATAGTCATAATCAGGAAATAGACAAGTAACCTTTCTTAGAGGAAGATATAGTTCAGTTTTAGGATCATGTTATCCTTCATTGCCCTTGTGAATGGCATAACGTATGTAGACTTTGCCAGTTGAGCAAATTTCTGGTTGTAACTAGTGTTCTAACAAATACATTTTGGATGCTTATAGTGATAAGTGGCGATGCCTAATGAAATATGAGTTCATCAATG